GTGTGAATATCTTTGACTTCTTACTCTTCAAGTTTTTTCACCTCCAAAAGGAATATAGTACTGACTCAACAAATAGCAGAGGTGGGACCCAGCCCATTCAGCTGTACTTTTGCTTTATCTCCAGGAGCACTCAAAACAATGGTGAATGCTGTAATCCCCAGGGGACAGACAGTTTTATAATTGTTCTGAAAGGTGGACTTCTTCAAAATAAAAAATTAAAAAAAACACACAAATCAACTTAATGATGGGCTTCTTTTCCATTTCTTTTTTATCCTCAACTCTATGCTGGTAGTAGGCTGTGAAAGAACACTTGTTGAATGAAGACACACCCTTATCCCACACAAATTAATCAATGTCAACCCTGTTATCAGATTTGTTTTCCTGCTCACTTTTTTTTTCCATTTTGGATTAATATTACAAAAGTTATCATAAGAACCCCTGTGTATTCACAAAATATCTTTCCTCCATTAGCCTCATAGATTCATAGAATAAGAAAAAGATGAGGATCTACACTCTGAGGTAAAGAGTCTGACTTTGGAAACGGATGTTTTCTTTTGATATCAAAGGAAAGCAGAGTTTGCCACCCCAAAATATGCCTTTTGGGGTATCGATTATTTTAAGCTAGTTATTTTCTTTTTTAATTAAATTAATTTAGTTGTTTTTTATCCTCGCCTGAGAATATTTTTCCATTGCTTTTTAGAGAGTTAGAGAGAGGGAAAGACAGAGAGAAATATCGATGTGAGAGAAACACATCGATTGGTTGTCTCCTGCACGAGCCCTGACCAGGACCTGGGCCGGGGAGGACCCTGTAACTGAGGTACATGCCCTTGACCAGAATTGAACCTGGCATCCTTTGGTCCACAGGCTGACGCTAGGGCTAAGCTGGCTATTTTCAAGAAACAAAAGACTCAGGAAGAACCTTTGACCTTCCCCCCTAACTGCCTAAAAGAATTTAGATAGGGGACCTCCTCCAGGAAGGGAGAAATAATCAGATGACTAGTTTAATATAAACCAGTGTGTGATAGACAGGGAGGAACCTAGCATGGCTTCTTTGATCAAAGTCCTCTCGGTATCATATTGTTAAAGATGGCCCAGCAAACATATAGTTACCAAACATTTGCTTTTCCGTCTCTACGTGACTTGCCTTCCTTGCCTTTGGAGTCCCCCAAACACCACCCCACCTTAGCTCAAGATGGCATATAAGCCTTAACTGCCCGATTTGTCCTCAAGTTTCATATTCTCTCTCTCTCTCTTTTTTTTTTTGCAGTATTAAAAATATACATATTTTTATTGACTTCAGAGAGGGAGAGGGAGAGATAGAAACATCAACGAGGAGAAATAATCATTGATTGGCTGCCTCCTGCACGCCCCCTACTGGGGATGGAACCTGAACCCAGGCATGCATCCTGACCAGGAATTGAACCTTGACCTCCTGGTTCATAGGTCGATGTTCAACCACTGAGCCACACAGGCTGGGCACCTTTTATATTCTTATGAAACCTCTGCATGCACATAAGTAATAAATTCGATCATTTTCTCCTGTTAATCTATCTTGTGTTAATTTGATTAGTCCAGCCAGAAGAACTTAAAAGGGTAGGAGGAAAAATTACTTTTCCTCCCCACAGTGTCCTGGTTATGTTATTTATATTAACTAATGTACAGTACCTTTGGTCACTCCACATCTTTAAGCCTCAGGTCCTTTATTACAAAAAAAGACCATAATTACTGTTCTGGTTGTAAAAAGGAAATGAAGTACTGAAGTGTGGAAGGAAACTGTTGTAATGTACCCCGAGAATCACAGAAGGACACCTCAAGAAGTCGAATTAGAGTCACATTTATTGCAATCCGGGACTATGAGGGGCCATTCCCCAAATCTCATAGTAACAAGATGGTCGCAGCTCCAGGGTTATATAGGCAAAAAATCACAAAGGTATTGATTACATCTCAAGGTTTGGAATGAGGAACCTGGTTTGCAAAAAAAGCAGTTTACAGAAGCAGAAGCAGCATGTTAATTATAGTTTTGGGTCTCGGGGTCACTGAATTGACAGAAACACATTATCTAGAGCCCTTGGGTCTGGAATGAGGAACCTGGGTTAAACTTAGGCATGTTATCTAAATTACAGTTTTGGGTCTAGAGCCCTCTGACCTTGGGATAACTGTGCTGTCCTTCCCAGGTGAAGGAAAAATGTGCTTTCTAAGACCAGTGTGACCACAACCCATGGGATATTCACATTACAATCAATAAGGCATTTAATCAAATGGGATGATTTATATAATTCAGAAAATCAAAATAACCTGTCCATTGTTAAACAAAGCAAATAGGTACCATACTTCAAAACCTTGCATACATGGCAGGTGTTAACTATTACCATCATTTCAACCCATTTCACAAGCACCCTTTCTACAGGGTCCTCTGGATTCTGGAAGACTTGTTTCATAACAATCTCTTCTATGCCTCCAGCCTTTTTTACAAGGTGTTTCCTCCTTTGAAGTTTCTATTTATTTATTTATTTATTTATTTATTTATTTATTTGCCTTTGAGGAGGCTTGGGTCTCCCCTCTGGTTCCTATTGAGTGGAGCCTTTGCTCATTTTCCCAGAAATTGACATTAGTAACCCCTGGATCCTTACTTCTTCTTCTACAACACTGTTTTGTCATTCTTAGTGGGGAGAAACTCCCTTTTGTTTTAAAACTTATTTAATTTTTCCTTACAACCCTCTACCCTACCTTGTTGCTGTCATCTATTAGCTTCATATTTACTTGGTTTCTTGGTCTCAATTGACTTCTCCAAGTTCCACCATCCTTCCAGGCCCCTTGATGTCCCTTACACTGGCCTGGTGGGCGCTAGACCCAATGCCAGCAATGCCCATCTCAATTGACTCCGTTTCAGCCATCAGATCCTAAACCACGTCATCTGAAGTGCTTCCCCTTTGATGACTTCAACACCAACACCACTTTGTGGTGACAACTTGCCAGTTCCCTCATTTCTTTCTTTAAAAATATATTTTTATTGATTTCAGAGAGGAAAGGTGAGGGAGAAAGAGATAGAAACATCAATGATGAGAGAGAATCATTGATTGGCTGCCTCCTGCACACCCAACCCTGGGAATCGAGCCCACAACCTGGGCGTGTGCCCTTGACTGGAATCGAACCCGGAACCCTTCAGTCCGCAGGCCAATGCTCTATCCACTGAGAAAAACCAGCTAGCGCAAGTTCCCTCATTTTAATGGGCCCTTTTGGTCCCTTTCTTCTCTTTCTCCTAGTCCAGTGGTTCTCAACCTTCTGGCCCTTTAAATACAGTTCCTCATGTTGTGACCCAACCATACAATTATTTTCGTTGCTACTTCATAACTGTTATGTTGCTTCTGTTATGAATCATAATATAAATATCTGATATGCAGGATGGTCTTAGGCGACCCCTGTGAAAGGGTCGTTCGACCACCAAAGGGGTCGCGACCCACAGGTTGAGAACCGCTGTCCTAGTCTATCAGCTTCCTGCTGCTCTCCATTTCTTTCCTCTGTGAACTAGAGCCCTGGTGGATTACTGCAATCACATTCTTTCAGTGTCCTCAATTTCCTCACTCTCTTGTCTTTCTACTCCACTCAAACTCTTGTTTTGTCATAAATATCCACATTTACATACCTACCTGTAGATAGCCTATAAAATTATATCTGTCCCAGCGTATGGCTCAGTGGTTGAGCATCAACCTATGAATCAGGAGGTCATGGTTCCATTCCTGGGCAGGACACATGCCTGGGTTGCAGGGTGTGCAGGAGGCAGCTGACATCATTGATGTTTCCTTTTTAAAAAAATATATTTTTATTGTTTTCAATCAATTTTATTTTTAAAATATATTCTTATTGATTTCAGAGAGAAAGGGACAGGGAGAGAGAAAAACGTCAATGATGAGAGAGAATAATTAATTGGCTGCCTCCTGCATGCCCCCTACTGGGGATGGAGCCTGCAACCCAGGCATATGCCCTTGACCAGAATGGAACCTGGGACCCTTTAGTCCACAGGCAGACACTCTATCCACTGAGCCAAACCGGCTAGGCCAGGGGTGGGCAAACTTTTTGACTCGAGGGCCACAATGGGTTCTTAAACTGGACTGGAGGGCCGGAACAAAAGCATGGATGGAGTGTTTGTGTGAACTAATATAAATTCAAAGTAAACATCATTACAAAAAAGGGTACGGTTTTTTTTTTTTTAGTTTTATTCATTTCAAACGGGCCGGATCCGGCCAGCGGGCCGTAGTTTGCCCACGGCTGTCAAACGGGCAGGATCCGGCCCGCGAGCCATAGTTTGCCCACGGCTGGGCTAGGCTCATCATTGATGTTTCTTTCTCTTCTTCTCCCTTCCTCTCTGGAATCAATCTATATATATAAAAGGCTAATATGCTAAATATCCGACCATCTGACCAGTCGCTATGACGTGCACTGACCACCAGGGGGCAGACGCTCAATGCAGGAGCTGCCGTGATGCACACTGGCCATTTACAGAGAAATGGCACTGCGGATGTGGCGCCGACAAACCAACACTTGGCTTCCCCCAAGTGGGATACAGGCCCCGCCACCACCCTGGAGTGACACCCCACCAAATCTCAGCCAATGCTGCCAAGACCCTATGGTGCAAAACGTAGCGTAGCCCACAGCCCAGCTCAGCCCAGAAACAGTTGCTGTGGGCGCTGGTAATGATGTCAAGTAGCAACGCCTGGTTTCCTCTCCCTAGCGACTAGCACTAGCCTCCTTGGAGTTTCTTTAGCCCAAAAACACAACTTGCTTTATAGGCAGGTGCAAACATTTTACACTTTAACCAAATGTCTGTGAAGCATTTTCCCGTGCCTCATCTCATTTGATCCTCACAGAAGTCCTGGAGTAGGTAGACAGGAAACTCAGTGGAATCCTATTTTCTTTTTATCAGCTGGAAACCATTGTCCATAGTTACATCCTCTCTCCTTCAGTGGTTTGGGTATGTTCTTCCCTTCATCTTAACAACCTGCTGTATCCTTTCTCAGGACCAATCATCCTCCAAAAAAAGTCATTTCACTTATGAAGTCCTGATTGTCTGCCCCCCCCTTTTTTTTTCTATGCGGGTATTTTTCTAGGAATCTTACTGATTCCAATAGATGTTTAGAACGACCCCCAGACTGAGTCCAAAAGCAGGAACCCCGTTTTATTTTGGTCCTCTCCTCAGCACTTCTGCAGTTCCTGGAGCGCAGCAGGGGACCCACAAACGTCTGTGACAAGGTGAGGCTCTTTACAGTGGTGAGAACCGGACGGGAGGACCCAAGCAAGGGGCCTTGCGTGCCGGGGGGCCTGGGCTGGGTGGGAACGCAGTGTTCACCTGGGTCCCGAAGGGCCTTTGCTAAATGAGCCGAGGAGGGGAGGAGCAGTCCTGGGGCAGAGCGAGGCCTGGGGCCAAGTGCCTGCAGGGCGGAGGGACGGGAAGCTGTCTGTGCCGGAGGAGTCACTTTTTAGGCGCTGGTTTTGTTGCATTGCACAAACCTGGTGCAAACCCCAAGCTCACCAGCGTGAGTCAGCGGGGCCGGCGGCGGCAGGAGAGGGAAAGGTGGGCGAAG